ATAAATCAATAAAAAATGTTAAAAAAGGTATATTTTATATATTTTTTAAAATAAAAATAATCAGATTAAACTAGGAAGATAAAAACCCCCACCTTCTTCAAATGATATAATTCAGTAGTAAGAATATAGATAACCATCAAACATAAGGAATGGTACATGAAAAGTAGGCAATTAGCAAAAAGAAACCTCTTATATTTTTTTAACCTGGAGATATGTGATATATTTTTCTGATTAATATACTGACCATGGATCACCCATCACCCACCATGAGTGGAGAAAACCCACCCATATTGGGGGAAAATTATAACCATATTAATGGTTAATTTTTCATTTTAGTGTAATACTCATTAAATTATTTAAAAATGAGATGTAAATGCTATTAGCCAGCAGGTCTTGGGATTATCTTTAAAGAAGAAAACTATTTGATATCATAATATTACCAGTAAATTTAGTAGACTTCTTATTCATTTGGTGTGATATAAACCTTAGATGGAACTTGGATATGAGCAGAAATAAAATTGCCAGCCTCAGTATGTTGCTGTTATAGAGCTCATCTTGAAAGAGATATATTATCCTTTATATTGTCTTTATATGATCATGTTGAACTACTCTCTGTGGTTGATTATGGAAGTGTACGACTGACCCACCACTTGGGATTGAGGTGCTTAGTTCTCTTGTCAAAGATCTTGCAAAAAGAGAGGGTAAAGATGGGGTCATGTGACATAATGATGACTAAATGTTGCTTCTTTGTTTTGCAGTGCCAGTTCCTAGCAGATTTGATCGGCGAGTATCAGGTGTGTGTTCTTTTTCATAAAATACTACTCAAATGCTATTTTGAGATAGGATTATCATACATAAAAATAAATTAATCTTCTTAATAAAAAGATAAATTGATAGCAATATAGAACATTATAAAAATTACTGTGATTCCTTCATTTTGTCTCATTTTAAATTCTAAGTTTATATGTTCATATTTTTTTATTATTATAATTAGTTTGTCTCATTTATGTCATTATCTTTTTCTAAGTTCATAATTATGGCTTCTAAACACTACTTTTCATGTTACTACTTCTCGCATTCTAGACTATGCTTGCATATATTGTTGAGCCACCAAAGTTATCGCCTCAGTTATAGTGCTGGGAATAGCATTCTCTGGTCAGAGACTGAACTTTGCCTGGGCTTTTTCTGTGTATTGCCTTCTAGATACAGTCTACAACATAGGCTGCAGGGAGAAAGGCTGCAGAGGCCTCTTTTCCAGCACCATCTCACTAATATGGACAGTGCCTGCTCCTATCATTTAGGTGTAAAATAGTACATCAGATTTATTTGACATTCCTTTGATTATTAACAAAAATGAACATTTTCCAGATATGGAAAATCTGTTTTTATTTTCTTGTATGGGACTAGTTTGATAATACCATTTATTTATTGTGGTCTGGATTATGTTTTAATAAGTGTGTATAAATTTCTATCATGATTTTTAACCTTTTGAAATTTGTAATACAAAAATTTCCAGATTGATTGTGCTACTTATTTTAATTTTACTGTTTTTTATTTACTCAAAAACTTTGATCTGTGACTGGTACCTTGAACACTACCTGGCACACGGCAGTTACTTAGTAAATATTTATTGAATACATATATACTCTTCTTTTTTTGTCGTAATTGTTCCTAAACTGAGAAGGTCCTCTTTTTTTCATAGAGTTGATAAATATGTTTTCTGAAAGTTTTTCTTATAATTAAAATGCTTGACTTTTGGATACATCTAGAGTTCATTTGGTTGTACAGTTGGGATGCTAATGTGTTTCAGAAGTGCTATGTGAGCTGTATGTGAAATATTGTTTTTTCATATCCCTTGTTCTGGGAAAGTTTCTTGATTTTAAATTGTCATATGACCTAACATCTGGTAAGGCTCAAAATCCCTTTTCTATCTCTCAATTTTTTCTTTGAAAAAATCTGTTCATTTATGTTTTCAGAAAGCCTTTGGTAAGGTTGTACACCAAAGTCTGTTGGAAGGAGATCGAAGAATGTGTTGTTATGTATAGAAAGTCATTTACAGAGAGGAAACAGTGTAGGAATTAAGGTTGGTATGAGACCCATGAGCTACTGTCTCCCATTTCTGTTCATACCTACCCTGCACCCTTTTTTCACCCCAAAGGTTAGTAATAGCTCTTGACATCTGTAGGACAGGCCTGGGAGTTGGAGAGTACAGTGACAGCTCCTCCAGAGGTCACAGATGGTCACAGATAAATTGCTGCTTGAGCTATTCGTCAGTGTGGTTCAGCCCTTGAACTCTGTAGAGGACTCAGACAGGTACTTGGTATTACCCTCCACCTTAGCTTTTACAATCTTATTGAAGATTTAAAACTTTTTAATATCATTCAAATGTTAAATGAAAATAAAAGATTCTTAATAGAATCCAAAATGATTATGCCGGAGAGAAAATAACTGTTAGCAATAGCTAACATTTTTTGAGTGCAGGCTGTGTTCTAGCTGCACAGTTTTAAGATCTTTCTAAATGCCTGCCTTGTATTGTTGAATATGATCCTGGAATATGCACTGGAAATTGAAAAACATGGTTACTATTTGGCTGGTGCCAAAAAGGATGTATTCTAGGTAGAAGAATGTCTTAAGACTGAAAGGGGGATGGACTGGACCTGGCTTGTCTGGCTGTCAGGGAGGAGATAAAATAAGATTGGAAAGGGAGTTGAGGAATGGGCTCCTGATGTGATCCAAGGATTTCAGCTAAAACTAGCTGTGTGAGGATGTGTGCTGTGTCGAAGACTTCAACAACTCAGAGTGTCTGACTGAATAATAATCTGGAACATAAAGCAGCATAGGCAAGCTAGCCGTTGTGGAGTGTCTCCTGTGAGCCAGACCTTGTGTTTTAAATGTCACTTTCTATTATTATCCTTTACGTGGGTCTAGTATTGTTATCTCCTCTTACCATTGAAGAGACTGAGGATTGAGGCCACAGAGAAATAGCAAGTGAGGAGTGAATGAATCCAAGCTCAGACACCAGTGCATGTAGCTTCGAAGATAAGCTCTTCCCCTCCTTGATGCTGCCTCTCCCTTGTAAATCACGGAAATTGAAAAGCTGTGCCTTCCAAATCCTAAATTCTAGCAGAACAGTCCCTTTACAACAAGTGATAAATACATCAAATATGAGTTCATAAATTCTTTAAAGGCAGTTTTCTTGAAATAGTAGTGAATTAATGTTAACTGTTTTTAACTTTAAATGTTAGTGTGATTCTATTAACTTAAAAACTTCATCCAAAAGAATATAATCCCTTCATTTCATTAATTTCTGTTTTTAAGCCACCCTGTCTGTAGTATTTTGTTATAGCAGCCCTAGATGACTAATATACCCAGGCTGTATCAACTCTTCATGGGGGCTGGCAGGACAGCACAGAGCCTCAAACCTGTGACTGGGATCTGTGCTCACTTCTTTACAGAAATGAAGAGGTTTTCTCTTACAAGCATATTTTAATGACTCACGTTTCTGGGTAAAGGAAGCACCAATTAATATTTGGAAGAAGGAATTGTGTTCGATCATCTATAATCACTTTGTACAGTTTCCTATTACTAAATAGCGACATCTGCTGGAGAACTGTGGCAAAATAAATTCCCTCAAATGAGGGGCTGTGCAGCTCTTTTTGTCTTCATCTTCAGTAGGTCTTGAGCATCTCATGACATTCAGTGTAGTTCTTGAGACTACATATGGGATCATACATACTCTGAGCCTCCTCTGGTAACTTGTACCCTGAGACAAGCTTCCTGATGTGTAGAACCATGAGGGGCAACAATCACATAAGATACTTAAAAATGGATTTTTGTATAGAAAATAAGAAAACTAATTTGGGATCAGGACCAGGAAGGAGAGAGGTTGAGTGTACACAGGGGAAGAGGGAAAAGGGAGGTGAGCCTGAAGTTCAAAAGAAAGGAGAAAAAAAATCAGAAAAATATAAGAATTTTTCCACAAGTAGAAACATATTAATAATTTTAATGAAAATGACTACTTTTGTTTAAATCATAGTGCTGTACCTTAAGACTTGAAAACTATAACATTTGTTGCTTCAAGTTACATTGGTATCTAAAAATATAAAAATGAACTAAGTTGCTAAAATACTTTCCTGCAAAAATCAGAGGAAAAGCAAGCCTGGAAATAGGCTAGCTCAAGACTAAGTGTCATTATCAGTAAAATCCTGTCAGTCTCATCATTAAAGGCTTATTATTTTAAACTTTTCAAATGAAAATTTTCATAGATATGCAAAAGTAGAGAAAAGTATAATAATAACCATGTACCAATCTATCTCCAAAATGAGGTTTTTTAAAATGCTTTTTTTAAGGTTTTTTTTAAGGGTGGTAATTAGGTTTATTTATTTCATTCTCTTTAAAATGGAGGTACTGGAGATTGAATTCACGACCTCATGCATGCTAAGCGTGCACTCTACCACTGAGCTATATACCCTCCCCCAAAATGCATTTTTCTAAGACGACATTTTGAAATCCTGGACCAAGGTGTAGTAAATGGAGTAGACAATAAAGTTCGAATACGAGAATATTTCTAAAGTAGAGTCTAATGTATTCATTGGATCATTGTGAAAGAAGGAAGCCATGATGAATTCCACATTTCTAGTTTAGAAAACTGGCCTGATAATGACAACATTAATCAAGAACACAGAGAACCAGGAGGTTTGCAATTTAATATGGTGTCTGGTTAGCTGCCCTCAATGCAGCTTCCTCAATCTTCTCCTCAAATACCTATGAAGGTACAAAAAGTGGCAGCAATAATGTCTAAAAACTCAGGAAGGTGTCTATCTTAATCTTTAGGACAGATCTGAGATAAACTTCTGATTCCTTGTGTAAACAGAAATGGCTTGGAGAAAGATAGTCATTATTATCTACGTAGCATTGTCACTTCCTTGGCTCAGATACTCAAAGCCTGCACCAGCCAGGGACTGGGCAGGGCTCTCTGCAGAATATCACCTGATATTGTTGTAGGGACCAGATTGGTGTCTGTCCTCATACTCTCTTCTCCCTCATTTTTCCCATCTCTTTAAGGATACTGGGCCCCTGTTGGACAGGCAGAGTACTGATGGCATTACAGTACGGAAGGCGTGGTCTACACAAGCAGAATACTGTAGGCTGGGCAGAGAAGGGAGTCTTGTCAATAGGACGTGCTGGGAGTCGCCATTTCTCGGGTATTCCATTAGTTCAGAGAATCCATGAGGAAGGGGAAGCTGGAATGCAACTAGACCAGGGCTGCAGTGAGTAAATGTCTCTAAGAAACCAGGAGTTAAATTAAGAGTGGTATGTATCAGCTTATCCCCTTGTTGTAGATAAACAGTTTTTAGCCATCACACAATGAATTGAGTGTAGGGTCAAGAACCATTTATATTCCTTACCTGCTAAAAAATGAGAAATAAACCCTAACAAACAATACAGGGCCTATGAATGAACTTGGCAGATTAAGGGTATAAGAAAGGTCCATGCAAAATGCTCATAGAGTACAAAAATCATTGCCTTTATGAATTCTGAGTAAAAAGCCAAGGAAAGAATAGGCTGAAGTGAAACAGGAAATAGGTTTGATAAGGAAAGACTATATGGAAACTAAATGCAATAAGCAGAAATAAAATACATAGAGAAGGCCAAAAAATAGCAAAATTGTTAAGAGCAAAATCTGTGATGGAAGACAGCCTTAAAGATTGTTGAAAGAGCTGGGATAGAGAATAGAACCAAGGTAATAATAATATTCCTAAAACCAGGACAAATGGAGCAGAAGTGATAAAAGTAATAGTTCAGAGAGCTGGCGTTTGTTGCCTCCTTCCTGTGTGGAAGGCACTTGTCTACTTGAATCCTTATGGCAGTCCTCGGAGGAGAATCACTACTGTTAGCTCCATTATGCAGAAGAGAAGGTGGAAACTTGAAGTAAATCACCCCAGGTCACACAGCTATCGCAGATAATTGAGGATTTATTAGAAGAAAAATTTCCTAGCTGTAATGGCTTGTAATAAATGTATTGTGAAGAAGAAACAGTTGCATTCTAGGCAACACCAGTGATCACATCTAGATCATTCCTGGCAAAACAGTTTTGTTAGTGAGGACATTAACTTTTTTATTCACTAGATAATTCGTTGTGTCTGCCATTGTGACACCTAAGGGTAAGATTTTAAAATCATGACTTGTGCTGACATCTCCAGTTCTAATCCTTCTGTTCCATATTTGTATTCCCCTTTTCTCCAATGAAAAACATCTGTGTGTTTATTCATTTATTCAAAACAGAAGACTTTTTGAATTGCTGTACCACAACCAACAGCAGTTCTTTTTTGTCACTGGAATATATCCCACTGAGGATTGGTGGTCAGAGTACCATGTTCAGAAGCTACTTAAAATAATCTTCCTTTCCTTCTCTGAGGTTCTGTTACCAACCTGATATGTGGTTAGGTTCATTTGTTTCTCTTTGTTTTCAGTTATAGGGTCCTTCCATCCTTAATCAGTTTAATTTTTTAAACATATAAAACATTTTAATATGACTTAAATGTCAAAACTAAGAGAAAGTTTTCTTGGAGAAGTTTCATTCCCTTTCCTATACCTTCTTTTTTGTTTCTGCCTACCTTTTAGAAAACAATTTTTACTTTCTGATTTATGCTTCTCTTACTTCCTTTTGGAAGAATAAATAGGTTTTTTTTATGTATATATTCATTTTTATGTTTATCCCTTGCCCCCATTCTTAGCTCTCCTTCTTTCTCATGGAAGTCCTTTCTAATGGAAGGGATGGCATACTATGTAGTATACTCTTTACCTTGCTTTTTTTCCTCCTAGAACTCACTATTTATTAGCCTATGGAGATCTTCCTCCTCCTTTCTTATAACTGTATTGTTCAAATGGGTATTTACATCATTTCTGATACTCTGCTATTATAAACAATTGTCCAGTAAATATTTTTTCCATCTTTGAATTATAACAAAGACAAGTCTTGCAGCCACCTGGCACAAACACAGGTCACCTACAAAGAAAATCAAGTTGGTCTTAGATTTATGTAATATTGTACCTAGAACAGAACCTTACACATAGTATTTGTCTTGTTTAAAATTCATTCTTATTTTTTAAGTCATTCATGTGCATAATGATGTTAAGATATTTTAATTGATTCTTTTTGTAATTGCTCAAATTCCATACCCATGTGTTTGTATTGCATATATTGTACTCTGTGGTTTTCCATCTCTTCTTCATAACTGAGCAGAGACAGCACCTCCTTACTTGTTCTTGCTATTTCCATAGGATTTAGTAGATTTTTTTTTTTAATCGTCTCTCTCCTATTTGAACTGCCAATGCCTAGAGAGCTGGCTTTTCAGCACCTAAAGAAAGCCTGGCATTACTAGCTAGCTACTTAATATATTTGTTAATTGAAGGAAGAGATTATAAAAATCATTATAACTTTAGAAAACAATGAATAAAATGAAATTGTGTTCATTTCCTATTTTTCCAGTAAAAGCACACATCTGTTTTATTCATTTTTCTTTTTCTTTTTTCTTTCCAAATTTAGTCTGTGCTGAGACCTATAATCCTGATGAGGAAGAGGAAGATACTGATCCAAGGGTAAGACCCGCAGCAAAGGTATTAGGTAGAATTGTTTTAGTCCCCACTCCCCTCCTCTCTACATGCCAGATCTAATCATGCTAACATTTAAAATAAATACAAATTAAAATCTCAACAAGATGCCATTTCTTATGTAAAAGATTGACAGTCATTAAGAAGAATGAAAGCAGGATTGGTTGAGGTTGTGGTAAGAAGGGGTGCCTAGCTGTAGCTGTCAGAGCCTTATAGTCAAGCCAGCCGACTCAGCAGTTACCTGAAGGAGAATTCCTCCCTAACGAACAGTCAGATCCTTCCTAAGGAGATTATTGCAGTGTTGTAATAGTGAAAAATGGAAACAGCATGAATGAACCAAAGTAGGGGATTCCAGGGGCTAAATTATGGTACATTCGAGTCAAGAGAATCTGCAGCCATTGGAAATGATGGTACTGGACTGGATTTAAATGATATGGAATGATGTGTATTTGAGGTACATTTTTATAGATCATTTTGTAAAATAAAAATAACTTTAAAATATTTATTTATCTATCTATTTACTTATTTACACAAAGATTTATACCTGGAAGGACATATCCCAGATATTAACAGCAGTTGTGGCAGGACTAGGTTGACTTTTGGGTGCTTTTTTAAAATCTCAAGGTTACAAGGTTGTACAATTAACAAATTACTTTTATAAAAGCAAATTTGAAAACTATCTTTTTAAGAAGATTGATGTTATAAAAGAAACTTTAATGATCTTCCAAGTATGCCTTACAATGAGTAGACTATGAAAGATTTCTGAAGTATTCTAATAATAAAATGCTACCATTGTGTGAATATAATAGATACGTAGGTTTAAAAATTTTTTTATTCTGGATATTATAAAATTCTTGATGACTTTAAAAAGTTAAAATGATTTTTGCTAACTTTTTAATATCATAAATTTAAAACGCTTAATACTTGACATCTGTTACTTCTGGTCAAATTAAGTGGGTTCAGAAGCTACTTTTTTTAGTGTAAAGATAATACTTAGGAAGGAGCTCGATAGGTCTCAATTATAACAGCAGTGCTAGGCAAGAATTATTTCTTTTTATAGAAATAATTCAATAAACATTTACTGAATATCTATAATATTAATAATAATTTGGAGGCACCTACTAAATACCAGGTACTGTTTTAAACACTGCATGTAATAACTCATTCAACCCTTTTGACAACTCTAATTTTGTAGATCTCATTACTTTTACTGGTAATACTAAGTCGTTGATGTTTGAACTATAGCTTGCTTAGCCATTGTCTACTTGCCATCTCCACTTAGATTTCAGTAGGCAACTCATACTGAGCTCCTGATTCTTTCTCTTTAAACATTCTTTTTCACCCACAGTCTTTCCCAGCTCATTTCATAGCAGCTCCATTCTTCCTGCTGCTCAGGTCCAAAATTGTAGGGTCACCCTCAGCTCCTCTCACTTTTTCACACCCATATTCAATTTTTCAGCAAATCCATTGGGCTCAGTCTTAAAAACATATCCAAAATTCCCCTACTTCTCAAACCTCCATGGCTACCACCCTGGTCCTAGTCACAACTATTTAACACTAGGATAATCGTAGTAGCTTCCTGACTTCCACTCTTGCCCCCCTCAAGGCTGATCTTCACTCAGGAGCCAATGTGAGCCTTTAAAAACATTAGTCAGACCTCTTCCCTTCCTCACGTTGGCCCCATGTCACTAGAGAAAAGAACCAATTCTGTGACCTACAGTGCCCTCTGTGAATGTGGGCATCACCTCCACCTAATCCCCAAACCTGATCTCTTTCTGATCCTTCCCCCTCGTCTGCATCAGTCACATCTGTCTCCTGGTTCTTCTCAAGCATGCTGTTCACCTGCAAGAAGACCTTGTTTTCACTTGCTGTTCCCTCTGCTTGAGCTGCTCTTTGCACAGAGATGTCCATGTGACCCACTCCCTCAGGTTGTCCTCACTTCCTTGAGACCTTTATACGAATGTCACCTATTCACACTCACACACACATTTTTAATCATCCTTCTGTATTCTCTACTTAGCCTTGTCACTCTCTAACATATTTTATGTATTCATTGAATGTGAGAATAGGTGTTTTTATCTTGTGTCCACTGCTGTGTCCCAAGGGCTAAGACAGTGCCTGACACCTAATAGGTGCTTAATATTTGTTGAATGAACAAATATCTAACCCCCCACTTTACGGATGAGGACTCTGAGGCTCCCAGTGAATAGCTGACTTGCTGCCAGCACACAGCTGGTGGGTGGTCCAGGGTGGGTGCTCTTCACCCCCTATCACATTGCCCATCCATGATCAGAGCACTGCTTAGTATTTGTATAGAAATAAAATTGCAGCATGTGCTCTTAATTTTTCCCATTTTTAGGAGAAAGAAATATATCAATTTGTAAGTAAAGTAATATTGTAAAATTCCATTTTAAAATTTCCCTGGTTTTATTTGAATTGGCAGGTGATTCATCCTAAAACTGATCAACAGAGATGCAGACTTCAGGAAGCTTGCAAAGATATTCTTCTTTTCAAAAATCTTGATCAGGTAACATTGCTTTAAAAAATATTTTTGTTTTTCAGTTTTTGCCCTATTCATCATTTAAACAGTTTTTAGCATCTTAGCCACAGCCAAATGAAGCATAAAACCTTAGATTCACCCTAGTTACAAACATTTGCATTGTATTGAGCACCACAACACATAATGAACTTTTCAGATGACTTTTAGTGTTTCTCTGCTTTGGTACTCCTCTCAGACAGTATCATTTGAGGACCATGTGGTTTGGTAATGTTAAAAGGAAATGTTCAACAGACATAGAAAACAAATTTATGGTTACCGGTGGGTAAGGGGGTGGGAAGGGGATAAATTGGGAGTTCGAGATTTGCAGATATGAACTATTTTATATATAAAATAGATAAACAACAAGTTTATACTGTATAGCACAGGGAACCATATTCAATATCTTGTCGTAACCTATAATGAAAAAGAATATGAAAATGAATATATGTATTGTGACTGAACTATTCTGTACACCAGAAATTGACACAATGTTGTAAATTGACTATACTTCAATTAAAAAAAAAAGGAAATGTTCAGATTTGCATGATGCAGGCTTAGTTTGGAGAGTCTGAATTCATGCTGCAGAGTAATTTCTCCAAAGATGCCAGTGTAGAGTTCTCCTCATTGGTAGCAGTTAACCCACTAAGAGTGTGTGACTGTGTGATGGCTTCTCACACCTTTGTTGCGAAACACCTCTTGTGATTACTTCTCAGCAAAGACGACAGGCATGGAGCACACACAGAGTGGTATGTGTCTGCAAAGCCCAAGCACAGGATCTATACCTGTGCCTGTCTTCCCTCCCTGGGTGAAGACGGAGAACAGGGGCTACCTCCTGAGGACAGAGACTCCTCAAATTTTCTGTTTCTTCTCCGGTTTGAGGGCCACTCGCTGAAGCTATATGAATGGCTAAGGTGCTGGGCCTATGGGGAATCCCAGAATGTACAGAGACAGGAAGGATGGGAAATGGAATTCTCCTGCTGCCCAGCTCCTGCAAATAAGTCTTCTGAAGATGTCCCCACAGCCCTCCCTGGGAATCTGGCTGGTCAAACATGAGTTCATGATATATCAGTCAAGGGTATCAACCATCCCCGGTGTCTGTAAACCAGTCTGCTTGGTAACTGTGTGGTTATAGAAATAGCCAGAACTTCAATCAGAGTTTTATTAGTCTGAGACTGAATAAAACAAGGACATGACTTCAAGGAAAGGATTGTGAGAAATACTAGTTTGTGTCAGCTGTTTTCCTTGGAAGACTCATCTGTAGTGATAGAAAGGGGACTTGCTTCTTTATCTACTATGAATAAAACCCCTTGTAAATGTTATGCAGCAGATGTTCTAAAGGAATTTGCTGTGTCAGTCCAATATTGAGTTTTCTAAGTGTTGGAGAACATGATTTTACCATTTTAGTATTGAAGAATGAAAACTGAATTTTCACATTTAATTATATTTTTCTAACATTTTATTCAAATACAATAAAGTAGAAAGAATTTTACAGAACATGCATTTATCTATTGCCTTGATTCTAACTTTAACATTTTACTATGCTTGCTATGCTATATACCATCTACCCTCAGCAAAAGGGTTGGCAAACTTGTCCTTAAAGAACCAGGTAGTAAATATTTTTGTCACCACTACTCAACTATGTTATTGTAGCAGGAAAGCAGCCACAGACAATGCATAAATGAAAGAGTGTGGTGTATTCCAATAAAACATTATTTACAAAAACAGCTATTTGCTCACCCCTGCATTAACTCTTTTTTTTTTTTTTGGATACATTTCCGAGTAAATTGCAGATCTCAGTATAAGTCCCCTTAAATACTTTGGCATGCATATCATGAACTAGAGGTCATTATTTGTTTATATTTTTAATGTAAAGTTTGCATATAATGAAATGCATGCATGAATTTTAAGTGTGCATTCACTTAGGTTTGGCAAATGCACACGCTTAGGTAATCCAAATCCCTGCCAAGATATAGAATATTGCCACCACCCCCAGAAAGTTCCCTCATGCCCCTTTATGATCAGTTCTTGCTCCCCTTCCCCAGAGGCAGCTATTATTTCGATTTGTTCTACCATAAATTAATTTTGCCTTGTAGGATTTCATATAAATGGAATCATACAGTATGTACTCTTTTGTGTGAGACTTCTTTCACTCAGCACAATGTTTCTGAGGTTCTTTCATGTTGTTACATATATCAGTAGTTCCAATATTCCATTTTCTTTTTTTGCTTTTTATTTTGAACTAGTTTTAGACTTATAAAAAAGCTATAAGTATAGTAAAGAGTTCCCATATACCCCTCATCTAGCTTCCCCCAATATTAGCATCTTATATACCCATAGTACAATTATCAAAACCAGGAAATTAACATTGTTACAATACCATTAAACTACAAATGTTACTCAGATTTCATCAGTTTTCTTACTGTTTTTTTTCTAGTCAGTGATCCAGTCCAGAATCCCACATTGCATTTAGTTCTTATTTCTCCTTAGTCTCCTCCAGCTTGTGATAGTTTTCAGTCCTTCCTAGTATTTCATGATTTTGACATTTTGAAGAATGCTAGTTATAGAATGTACCTCAGTTTGAATTTGTCTCATGTTTCCTCATGATTGAAATATGGTTATGTATTTTTAGCCAGGCTACCACAGAAATTATATCGTGTCCTTCTCAGAGCATCATATCCAGGGGTCCGTGATGTCAGCGTGTCATTGCTAGTGATGTTAGCTCATTCCCTTTTATTGCTGAGTAATATTCCATTATATGAAAATACCAGTTTGCTTATCCATTCTTCTGGAGATGGATACCTGGTCTATTTCTTGGGTTTGGCTCTTAAGAATAGTGCTGTGGACATTTTGTGCAAGCCTTTTTGTGAACTTTGTTTTTCATTTTTCTTCAGTAAAATAGCTGAGTGCAAAATTGCTGGGTCATAGGGTAGGTATTTGATTTTATAAAAATCTACCAGTTCTTTTTCAAAGTGGTTGTACCATTGTGTATTCCTTCCAATAATATTTGACATTCCCAGTTGTTCTGTATCTTTACCAACATTTTATATTGTTTAGCTTTTCAAATTTTAGATATTCTGGTGACTGTATTTGTTTCCATTTTAAAAAATTTATTTCACAAATTTCTGTTTTTAAATTTTCAAATTTCCAGAAAAGTTGAAAGAATAGTACCATGAACACTCATATATCTTTTACCTAGACTGATCAGTTGTTAACATTTTGCTACACTCTTTCTCTTGTTTGTGTAGTTACACACATATATATGTGTAAACTATTTTTTTTGTTTGAGCCATTTATGAATATGTTTAAGACATCATGACTCATAGCCACTAAATACCTTAATATGTATTTTCCAAGAACAAGGATATTCTCCTACATTAATATAATACCATTATTAAACCCAAGATATTTAACACTGGTGTAATAATACTACCTAAATACAGTCCATATTCAAGTTTTCCCAGTAAAGCTTTCTACAGCTTTTTTGTTTTGTTTTTCCATCCTGAATCACATGTTGCTTTTGGTTGTCATGATGTTGTTTTAGTCCCCTCTAACCTAGAACACTTCCTTTGCACCTTATTCTATATCTCATGACACTGATGTTTTTGGAGAGTACAGGCCAAAATAAGAATTACTCAGAACAAGAGGCTGCCAGTGGACAGCCCACAGGCCAGATATAGCCAGGTATGTTTGGTCTGTATTGTATGTGAAAATTTGACTTTGTTACCTGTATTTAAACATGAGATTTCTGGCAATACTGGGCTCACATCCCACATGATTGCAGAAGATACATGAGTAGCAAGCCTTCCTTTTTAATATTTGTCAACTTATACAGTATTCAATACCTATGGAACTATGAAACTAAAGAGATGCTTTTTGGTGATAACTATTTTGAGTAGCACAGATACATTGCCAGAACACTAAATCACATGGAATTATGCAGCAGTAAAATTATTTCCTTGCCAGGTCTTCAATCCACATTCCTCCCAAGAGAAAAATTTTCTTTGAGTTGAGGCTAGTGTTTAGTGCCCCCTCACAGTCACTGAGCTCCCTGACAGAGGAACACTGGCCCTAGATTGAGACCCCTGTTTTGTTAGAATTTAATAGCATTGTTTTATTTTCATTATACGTATCAGTACAGTTACTTTCTGGTTATGGCAGGTAAGATTGGTAAGTAAGTAATTGTATGTGTTGTATATAAATGATTGAAGCAATATGAGCAGTCTGATAATAGATCTTGTTTATTGAGTACCTGTTATGTGATGAATACTTTCCTTAGATTTTTCTCCTTTAGTCATAAAAATTGATAAGCTAGAAACTACCTATTAAAGCCTTTTTACATATGAAGAAACTGAGGCTCGGCGAGGTTAATTGATGTGCTTGGCTGGTTAGAGCAGTTGTACTGTTCCATGGTCTCTGAGGGCACCTCAGCCCTTTAGATTTTATAATCCTGGTAAGATCAACACCTGTAGGAAGGTGGCATCACCTGCCTTTACACATGACATAATGGATCCATCAAGGGAGGTGACAGTCTTGTGAGTCATGGGGGAATGGGCCTCATGATTTAGACACCTATTTTTGCATAAATTATAGAATTTTTTCAAAATAACACTGGCTCAGAAAACTTAGCAACTGTGTTGTGTACATGGAGAGGCAAAGCTGAATGGTCACAGGAAAGCATCTGTTTCCGATAGCACTTAGGTTTCTGCTTGAATGTGGGGAACAGTCTGATGTGAGGACTTCTACCATGTAGTCACCAACTGAGATAAGCAGTAATTTTTTTCCCCACAAATGTGAAAGCCATCTTTTCTCCTTGTGTGTTCCCCATAGGAACAACTTTCTCAAGTCCTTGATGCTATGTTTGAAAGAACAGTCAAAGCTGATGAGCATGTCATTGACCAAGGAGATGATGGAGACAACTTTTATGTCATTGAACGGTAGGAGACAGAGCTATGCAATTGCATGGCTGTACTTAAGATTCATGACTGAGGGCAAGTGCTCTACGCTCTGCTTTGTTCAGCCCAGACAGGACTTATGGCCAAGTGAACAAACTTCTCAAAGTTTTCCCCTCTCTGTCCACAGCCTGCCCTGCTCTGTCTGCTGCTGCCCTAAGTCCTCAGTATGACCCATACTTGGGTTGCCACTATCTACAATTACATAAGATGTGCAAGGCGTGCTTTATAGACATGTTATTTGCCAGTGTTCAAATGAACTGATTTCCTGAAGAATAACCATGACACTATTGTTATCTGGATCATTTAATCCTAGCCTAATTTTACACATGAGTATCCTGCCTCAACCTGTATACCCCTAGCCCTGTCTAGCCATGTTGGGATACATAAAATGTGTGGATTTGACCCACTTGCCTTGGGGTATCCTAACCTCTTGAGCTATAAGTATCATCTGGGGGGGCTCCTTCTGACCACCTCTCAGTCCTGAAAGCAACACCCTCATCAGAATTTAAGGTCAATAAGATGTTGCTTCGCCGGTATCTTCCATTAATTATTTTTCATTTTTTCCTTTCAAAGTACTTTACAAATTATAGAAGTGTTACACAAATAGTACAAAAATTTTTATAAACCTAGGTTCCCAGGTGAATGTTTTACCACATTAGCTTTATTGTTTGAGAGTAATTTGCAGGCATAATGCTGTTTTATCTCTGAATACTTCAGTGTGTATTTCCTAAAAATAGGACATTCTCGTCATTCTAAGTGAAGTAAGCCAGAAAGAGAAAGAAAAATACCATATGAGATGGCTCATATGTGGAATCTAAAAAACAAAAACAAACAAACAAAAACAAAGCATAAATACAGGACAGAAATAGACTCATGGACAGAGAATACAGACTTGTGGTTACCGGGGTGGGGGTGGGTAGAGGGTGGGAAGGGATAGACTGGGATTTCAAAATTGTAGAATAGATAAACAAGATTACACTGTATAGCACAGGGAAATATACACAAAATGTTATGATAAATCACAGAGAAAAAAATGTGACAATGAGTGTGTATATGTCCATGAATGACTGAAAAATTGTGCTGAACACTGGAATTTGACACAACACTGTAAAATGATTATGAATCAATAAAAAATGTAAAAAAAATAGGACATTCTCTTACATAAGCATAAACTAATTATAAAAATCAGAAACTAACATTTTATACAGTACCATCATCTACTGTACAGATCTTACTCATTTTTTTCTATTCATTCTCTGATTTTTGAGGTTCTTTTGATCTCCATCCAGTAACTGTACTAGATTCAGTTAGTCTTCTTTCTTGTCAAACCTTTGCTCATTCAGGTTCTTGAACAGAAAATCTTCAAGAATGTACTCCTTGGGTAACCTTTGAGCCCTTGATATCTGTGACAAATGATTACAATTGGAAGAAATGTTTTGCTTAAAGAGTGAAGATAATACAAGTAATGCATTCTTAAAGACTGTTTTACTTTTGTCTGTTATGCTTATGCTTCCTATATAGAGTTCTGTAAGTAGTGACAGAATAATTTTTTAAAGTTATGCCACCACTTCCAGCAGCCACCTTTCCCACTTGCTCTGCCATGTACTCCCAGTAGTTACCTTCAGTCTGGGAAATAAACACTTACCTGTGCATATCCATACCTTAAAGGTTGAAACGCTTGTCTACAGAGGGAATGATTTGTCGTGATATGTGTAAATGAGAGGGACTATCTTTTGTATGCAGTGAAAGTAATTATTCACAAATTGAAGAGACTGTCATTCAAATAAAAAGGTACTGTTCCTGGCCTCAGAAAACTCATTTCATTTTCTAGTTGGAGAGACAGACCCTTAAATAGATAATTACTACATAATTTGGTGGTAACAACAATGATTAAAAAATATGCCCCATTATTCGGAAGAGAACCTGAGTGGGAGAGGACTCTGCTTTGCGGCTTCCTGAAATTGTGTTGTTCCCAAAAATTAAGATGCTAGTGTCTCCTGGAAGGGAGACTGAAAATACATAAGTGAATTTACCCTGAATTCCATGTTTTCTACTCGCAGCCTTGTTACTTTTGCCTTGTCCATCAGGTCTGGTACAGGTCAGCTTCCTTTCTGAGTGGTGAGCTCCCTTGAGGACAGGGTTGGTGCCATGTAACTGATATTTGAGTGATTGGTTTTATTCTCTGCTTCTTGTGTAACATTTGATACTTAGTGATTTTATCAAACAAATGGAAGTTCTTTGTAGGAAATTTAGGGGAAAAAACAGGAAAGAAAGTAATTTAGCTTTCATCAACAGAGTATAGTTTATTTTTCTATGCTTTACTGTTAGGTCAGATCCATTACCCTAAAATTTGGTTCAGATATCAAGACTGATCATTACCACATACACAGAATAAGAGGGTATGAAAAGATTTATTACTCACACAACAAAGCTTTTGAGGGAGAGCAGGGCAGGTTTCCAAGAGGTCCAAAAATGACTTGAGACAGCAGGGAGAGGTGACTAGCTTAGAGTCAGGCTGCTGTTATATATGGTCAGGTGCTTGTGTTGTTTGAATTTCCCGTCGGCACCAAGTGAGGGACACCCAGGTTTTCTTATCAGCTTTCCCATATGTGAGACAGAAGAGGAAGAAGGATGGTGAGGTAGGGTTTAAAAGCTTTTAACAATAAACATGAGAAACGTAGTCAACTCTCTATTTTTATGTATATATTTATACACACACACACACACACTTTTTGGGTCATAGATTGTTGTGTGACCTGATTTTTAAAATCTATTTTAAGTAGTTTGCCTTGGGATGCAATATTATTCTATGTCAGCATTTATATTCACTGCATAATATGAATATAGACATATATTTGACCTGTCCCCTATTGTAAGCAGATTAAATTGTGATTTTTGCTGTTGTAAATATTACCTGGTATGCATCCCTGAAGTTAAATATTTTCCAGTATCTTTGATGATCTCTTTAAAATGTCTAGAAATGGAATTGCTGTGTCAAAGGGTCTCTTCAAGGAATTTGTTATGTTGTTAATTATCTTGCAGAAACTTTGAAACATTTACATTTACTTCAGTGGTGTATTGAGAGTGCCTAGTTCTCCCAATACTTGTCTGTTCTGATTTTTTTTCTTCAGCAGTCATTATCAATAGATAGAAAATTGTATCTTTTTGTTTATTTTAATCAGTGTTTTACATCCTAGTTTTCAACAGACAAAAGAAAACCCGTACAATCATTTCAATACCTACAGGGCAAGCAGTTGACAAAATTCAACACCTTTTCATGATAAAAACTCTTAGCAAACTAGGAGTAGAAGGGACTTTTCTCCAACCTGATTAAAGGCATTTATAAAAAACCTACAGCCAGCCTCATACTTAATGGTGAAAGGTTGAATGTTTTCCCCTTAAGAATGAGAACAAGACAAGCATGTCTGCTCTCATCACTTCTGTTCAGTATTGTACTATAGATCCTAACCACTGCAATAGAGCAAAAAAAAAAAAAAGAAGAAGAAGAAGAAGAAGAAAGAAAAGAAGGAACAGAGAAAGAGGGAGTGACGAAAAAGAAGAAATAAAACTGTCTTTGAAGATGACATGATCCTCTAGAAAATGCCACGTCCTATACAAAAGCCATTAGAGCTAATAAGTGAGTTTAATCAAGGTCACAGAATATGAAGTCAAAGTGCAAAAATCTATTGTGTTTCTATATACTAGCAAAAATCTGTTGGAAATGCCCTATAACAAGGTTTTATATCATATGTACCTTCTATTCATGTACACCTGCCAGTTATTAAATTTATTATTGGAACTAATAAATGACATTGTTTCTTGTTATACTTCCAGGGGAACCTATGATATTTTAGTAACGAAAGATAATCAAACCCGCTCTGTTGGTCAGTATGACAACCATGGCAGTTTTGGAGAACTAGCTCTGATGTACAACACCCCGAGAGCTGCTACCATTGTCGCCACTTCAGAAGGCTCCCTTTGGGGACTGGTGAGTTAGAGAAATGGTTCTCCTTGCATGGCATGGTATTAATTACCCTTACTTCTGGTTCTCTGTCTTTGAGCTGTTGGTTCACATTATATTTTATAGTCTCAGTTATCTGAAAGACATTGTGGAAGGTCTTGTACCAGTGTGTTTTTCCATTTCTCTGAAATGACTTATCAACAAACCATATATTCCAAATTATAGGGAGAAGACCAGGTCTTATGACCTTGTAGTCATGTCAGCTCTTGTTACATTTTCTGTTTATGGTTTTATCAGACCAGTAGAGAGAGGAGGGATAACTCTCTGTACAAGAAACAGCCTAGAAAAATAAGGGTCATTGATAGCTCTGCCAACGGTGTTGCCTATTTCTGACTATCCCAGGACTACCTTTTCTCAGTGTTCAGCCATCTACTTGGTCACTGGTCCATGTGAATATTTAATTGACGTAGATGACTTGAAAGTCTGATAACCATATTCTGGGAAAGAGAACTTTCCTATAATGTCTTAGGCATAATACTGCTATGATCTTGTCCTCTATCGTACATGACCTACCTTGCTTCCTTCAGTATCAAGCCTTCAGAATATATAACTGTCTTCCTTCTTAAACAATAATCATCCTCTTTATAAATTACAAATTTTGTTTTTAAAATGTTGACATTTATCGAAATTTATTTCCATTTACCCTACAAACAGAATTAAATGTATACCATGGAATTATCAATATATTTCCTCAAATGAAATCTCATTTTAAAGCCATAGTAGAGCACTTCATAGTGATATACTAATATAGAATTAAGAATGCCCCTGAGAGATGAGAGGTATAATGGCTTAAGAATATATCACACATTTGGGATCCCGCTGCTTAAAATCTCAAGGTAGAGCAATAAGTAATGGGGGAAAATAAACTCAGTTTTAAAATATACTGATGCCAACTTCTGTACCAGGCCAAGATGGAATAGCCCCATTCCTCACTAGTCTTCCCTCTTAAAACTAAAAAACTCTGGATATCATACAACAAACAAGCCCAGGAGACCCTGAAAGATGGAAAGGAGAGGTGGACTGGCTAGGGATCTCAGGACTTAGGGAAGGGCATAACAGTGAGTTCCCCAAGTTTTCTTATTAATTCCATATATCCCAGGTAGGGTGCTGGAAAACCTACAACCCAGACCATTGACAGGTACACATAAAAACAACCCCAAGAAAAGTTTGCTCCCTTTACCCAAAGGACTGGGAAAAGGGCCGCCTAGCAGAACAGAACAGAAAACCTTTTTGACAATACCACCTTACTCCCGCCAAATACCAAAGGAAAAACTGCTTCTACCTCTTCACTCTCTCTCTTGCTTGAGTGAAAGTCAGTAGAAACTTTCTTCGGGAACTTCTGCAGTCACAGGAAAGGGTAGCATTCGTTTTCACTTTTGAACTTCAGTGCTATTTACTTGACTCTGAACACTTACTGCCTGAGGGAGCTGCCATTTCACGGTAGGGGTTTCCTCTTGATGGCTCCATTGGAAGCTCCCTGAAAGCTGAGTCTGTGTCTGGTGCTTTTTTATATCCTCCATAGTCACAGGAATTGGCCTTGCACAGCCTGAGAGTTCTGGAAAGTACAAAATTATACGTAGAAAGGGTTGGAACACAGATAAGTCACTCTACAAAATATCAGTTGCTTTCTTTTCAGCTAGAAATACAGTTTGTTGCTGCGATCGTAGTCATCTTTCTAACATGGTAGGTGGATTTTTTAAATACTGCTTTTTTGATAGTGACTACTCAGACATAAGGAAGGGAGCTTTATAATTCCCATTGTATCAGTCTTGACTGTTCTCCTTCCACAGCTGTCTTGGCCTAGATGGACTGCAAAAACATGTAGAAGTTCTAAATTTCTGAATTCTAAAGATAATAGAGTAATATTCCAAAGTATAACAGTAACTTGTAAGATACTTTTAAAATGATACATCCCTAACCCTAGACTTCAAAATAGTGGTGGCAAGTGATGCAGCCCATTAAAGCAATCAAAGATTGTATGGCTCTTTTCAAGCAGACAGATGGAAAATAAAATGGGGACAGAATCTTGCTAAATGCTGGTGAGCAGACATTATTTGTGGAGCAGTTTAGGAAGAGAGGGTAGGAGTCTGCCATCCTTACACTAGGAATGTAGGGCGCAGTAGGTGACTTCTGTAAGGCAGATGAAACATGGCACAGGTTAGGGCCAGGGAATTCTGTAGCTGATGAAATATGAGCCAGTGAAATCTATTTAGGCACCTCAACTCGGTTGCTTTCTATGTGTTTTCTCCACCCTACTCCCACCCCATCATCAAGAATACTAAAATAGCAAACCTACAGCTAACCATGCCTTTACCCCCTTGCTGTTTTTCATTCTTCCAGCCTTTAGGATGTCATTACTATACTCCCCCCACCAAAAAAAAAATCGTTCTATTCCTGAGAGTCCGAGGTGGAAGAAAGGTACAATTAACTTAGGTACAAATAACTACTTACCCATTTAGGAACCTAAGCAGCTAACATTCTCCTGGCTGCTGGTCTCTCCCCACACATGCATACACATATCTGAGAGGTGCCTGACTATAGCTCTGGTTAGCTGTTTCCTAAGTCCAAATCCGTAACTTGCTAGGATCAAAGTACCTTTCTATGCCTGCCTTTTATCTTGAGCTTCCTTTATCTCTCTGTTAATCTACCTCTCCTTCAGTCCCAGACAAGTTTATATTTTTGTGACAAAATTATCCTTGATCACTCCAGCCTACCCTGATCTCTCTGTCCTCAGAATTCTTGTAGCACTTACTTTGTCTCTATAGTTTATCTAGCACATTTCACATGCTACCTTGAACTGTAGATTTTTTTATTTCTATAAGTTTTGAGTTGTCTCCTCATTGAAACTGTAAAATCCTTGAGGGAAAAAACCATCTGACTATTTTATCTCTCTTTTTTGAAGGTGCATCTTTTCACATTGAACAATGACTGTCAGCTCACAAATGTTTGATTGGGAGTTTTTTCTTTTGTGTTCTATTTATGACCCATAGGTGGCACCCACTGAGTGCTAGATAGCAAGCAACAACATGTGGGACGTCTGCCTGGCTCAGGGCACAGGACTTTTTCTTCCCGTGATGACTCAGATTGAGATATCATTAACATTCAGTTGACCCAGTACCTTCCATAGACCTCTTAACATTTGCTGTGGCCTAGTTAATTAAACCATACACATTCTCTTACATAGACACTTACCAGAATTTTCATATTCTTTCTTGTAGGACCGTGTGACTTTTAGAAGAATCATAGTGAAAAACAATGCAAAAAAGAGGAAGATGTTTGAATCATTTATTGAATCTGTGCCACTCCTTAAATCACTAGAGGTAAAAAGTCTATTTGAATGAGTCTGTTTGTGGGAGTTTAAGAAAAAAGCTATTAAAATTATCCTCTTGTTCGTTTTTTAAAACCATGCTGTTCTAGCCCATTCCTGTGTTGTACAGATATACTATTGGTGACTTTCCGTTAAGGTCTTTTCCTTGTAATTTGCGAATATATCCATTGTTTCAGGTGTCAGAACGAATGAAGATCGTGGATGTAATAGGAGAGAAGATCTATAAGGATGGAGAGCGCATAATCACTCAGGTGAGTGGGGGCCTTGTGCAGGGCCTCCTTTCCTGGAAGTCACCTCCTGAAGGACTAGTGCATCATTGTCCTCTCACTTTCAGAGCTCATGTTGTGAGGTACTCAGGCACACTTCCTACAGAGTCTTCTGAAGACGATTGGCGTTCATCTCACTGACATATACATGTCTCTTGCCTCCGTTCACCTTTCCTTGGCTTCTGGTGTTTGTTCTCTTGGGTGTCATTTTCTTTTAATCCTGAGTAAGCCTCGTTCATTGCTGTCAAAATTTGGAGAAGATCGAAGGGTTGTGCCCTTTATCTTTGCTATGTTTGGCACAAAGTGCCCTCTAAGGTAATCCAGCACAAACCAGAGTCTTCAGTCTTCAGATTTGTAAGGTGTCTTTAGTGTTTCCTTTGTGCCTTTTTCTCATGTTATTTTTGGGTACTATAAGAATCAGCACACAAAGGACTAGAACATTATGATGAGTGCTGTGTAATAATTTTTCTTGTCTACTATGTTTACGTTTTTAATTATATGTAAATGATATTACAGACTTTTCCAGGGGTAAAACTCTTCTTATGATTTTGGCAAGATTATTGGGAAGATATCTTGTTGGTCTGGGTTAGGGAACGTGTCCTTCCTTGAACCCAGAGCTGGGGCTAGAAAGAGGACTCAGACTGGTCAAGCCTAAGTCCTCAGCCCTGTTGGGGCCTGTGACTGGAGCTTGCCCGACCAGTACCACAGGGATTAGTCAGGCTTATCTCAGAAGGAGAGAGAGAGATGCTCCCAGAGAAAAACGACTAACCAAAAAATGATGTCTACTCTTAGTGGCATCTCTAAATGCCTTTTTTCCCCCCTAAGTGCCTTTGTTTTCTAGATATCCCCATGGTTAATAATTCTTTTGATTAGTAATTGGTTTGATTCTGTAAACATTTATTAAGGTAGACAGGTAGGACCAGATACAAGTGCTATGAAGGAGCATATGAATGACAGTGAAAACATAGAAAAGGAAGTATTGCATATGGTTTCATGGAGGAAACACCATTTGAGTTAAGCTTAAAGAACAGGTACAGTTTCAGCAGCTGAGGTCAGGGAAAGGTCTTTCAATGCAAGAGAACAATATGTGCAGAGGCCTGTGGGTGTGAGCTGTCTTCCAGGGCAAGTATCCTGGTACGGTAAGAATGTAGGGGTGAGTTGCAGGAATGGGACATAATTGACTGGCCACATTTGCTTCTGAACCTGAGGTATTTTAATTTATCCCCAAAGGACTTCTCCTTCATCCTGAAAGCCCTAGGCCTTCAGGAGGTATGTCAAGAGATTTGTCAAGAGATTTTCAGTAAGTATGTCAAGAGGTGTGAAAAGCTACAGTATTTTTCTGGGATGTCTGTGTTCTTGAAGATAGACATGCTAGGTGGTGGTACAGAATGGACACAAATTAAGATGATACTCAGCTTATTATAGACCCCTTTTGGCAGTGTCTCTGGACCAAGGGTTCTCAAAGTGAGGTCCCTGGACTAGCGGCTTCATGTAGGAATGTTAGCAATTGTTAGAAATGTCAGTTCTTGGGCCCCACCGCCAGACCTACTGCAGAAGCTGTACTTTATGCTGTTTTGTTTATTTATGTGGTCAGCTTTGTTACAGTATATTTTACATACAATAAAATTACCAAGTTTAATTTTTTAAATTTTTGGGGGGATGGTAATTAGGTTTGTTTGTTTGTTTGTTTGTTTGTTTGTTTGTTTATAATGGCAGTGCAGGGGATTGAACCCAGGACCTCATGCATGTTAGGCCCGCACTCTACCACTGAGCTATACCCTCCCCCTAAAATTACCAAGTTTAAATATACAATTTAGAGTTTTATAACCACCCTTATAATACTAGTGTATGGCATTTCTCTCACCCAAGAAAGTTCCCTCATTTGCATTTTTAGTCAGTCCCCTCCCCGACCCCCTTACTTCTAGAAACCACTGATCTGCTTTCTATCTGTATAGAAATTCCTCTTATAAATGAAACCATATAACAATGTAGTCTTTTGTGTCTGACTTCTTCCTCTTAGGATAATGTTTTTGAGATTTATCCATGTTGTTGTACGTATCAGAGAGTCATTCCTTTTTATTGCTGAGTAGTATTTCATTGTGTAGATGTACCATATTTTGTTTTTCCATTCACCAGTTGAGGGACATTTGGGGTCTTTCCAGTTTTTGGCAACTATGAATAAAGCTACAATGAACATTCACATACAATTCTTTGTATGGAGATTTTTATGGAATTGCTGAGTCGTGTGGTAAATGTGTGTTTAACAAATTGCCAGACTGGTTTTTAAAATGTCTGTACCATTTCACAGTGTTCGAGAGTTCCAATTGCTCTGTATCCACATCAGCACTTAGTATTAGTATCTTTAATTTTTAACCATTTTTGTATGAAGTGATATCTCATTTTGGTTTTTTTTTGCATTTCCCTGATGTCTGATATTGTTGGGCATCTTTTCCTGTGGTTGCTTGCCATCCATGTGGTCTTTGGTGAAGTGTCTGTGCACATCTTTTGACCTATTTAAAATTAGGTCATTTGGCTTCGTATTACTGAGTTGTAAGAGTTTTATGTATTCTGAGTACAAATCCTTTATCAGGGAAATGGTTTGCAAATATTTCTCCCAAAATGTGTCTATAGCTTGTCTCTTCATTTTATTAATGATATCTTTTAAAAAGCGAAAGTTTAAAAAAATTTTATGAGTCCAGTTTGCTATTTTTTTCTCTTGTAATTCATTCTTTTTGTGCTCTATTTTTAAAAAAAAGTTCTTTGCACAATCAGTGAGATTTTCTCCTGTTTTACTTGTAGGCAAGCACTGTTCAATAGAAATATTATGATTGTAAAATTATTATAAATCAATAAAAAATTTTTTTAAAAAAAGAAATATTATGTGAATTACATAATTTAAAATATTTTGGTAGCCAAATTAAAAAAAATGAAACAGGTCAATTTAATTTTAATAATATATTTTATTTAACCTAATATATCTAAAATATTACATTTCAATATCTATAATATAAAATTTTAATAATGAGACATTTTACTCTTTTTTTTCATTACTCAATCTTTAAAATTTAATGTGTATTTTACATTTAACAGCACACCTAAGTCTATACAAGCCACATTTCAAGTACCCAATAGCCCCATGTGACTAGTGGCTACTGTACTGAGCCATGTGATTCTAGATGTTTCATAGATTTAGGTCTTACATTAGATATATGATCCATTTTGAGTTAATTTTTGTGTAAGGTTATACATATGGATGTCCAATTGTCCCAGCAGCATTTGTTGAAGAAATTATCCTATCTCATTGCCTTGATAATGTCATTGAAAATCAATTGGCCATATATGTTTGGGTCTGTTTCTGGTCTCTTTTTTGTTCCATTAATCTGTATCTGTCTCCATGTCAGTACTGCACTGTCTTGATTACAATAGCTTAATATAGTAAATCTTAAAATCAAATAGTTTAAGCTCTCTACATTTTTTGTTCTTTTTCATAATTATTTTGGCTACTCTATGCTCTTTGCATTTCTGTATAAATTTTACAACCAGTTTATCAATTTCTACTAAAAAAGCCTGCTGAGATTTTTTCATTGAGGTTATGTTAAATCTATAGATCAATCTGGGGAGAAGTTGACATCTCAAAACTAGTGAGTATTTTGTGTCAGTCTCAGCCTATCGCTAACTAAAAATTGGCACTTGCCATCTGCCTCTACAAGGATTGGATCACGAGCTGCTGCAGTCGCTGACCTCCAACACTCCCTGAAAGGAGTTCAGGGTGGAGGTCGGGAATGAGGCGCTCTGTCCTCTGGGAAAACTGGCTGAACAGGCCTTCAGATAGTTAGATATTTTCAGGAGAAGATTTTATGACCCCAATTCTTGCATTTCCTCATATCTAGAAGAGCACTAAAATCATTAACGGTGACATCTGCTCCTGGTGACTAGCAGCAAGCCTCTGCCTAAATGTGTGCCTGATTGCACGTACCCCCCTTAGTGAAATCATATATAATACTGAGTTCTCCCCCTGCCTCTTTGGAACAGTTTCTCACATCTTTCTGGGATGCTGTCTCCCAGGCTATAGTCCTCATTTTCCCCAAATAAAACTTAACCAACAACTCTCACATTGTGTAATTTTATTTCAGTCGACACTATCAATAGTGATGCTATTGGCTAGGAATGCCTGGGGCACTTACCTGGGCCCATACTGCTTATGGTGAGCCTCCACAGACAGGAGCCAGTGCCATGACTGGACTAGCCCTCCTGGTTCTTACTATGACTGCAAGGTGCACCTCAGCAACAACCATCAGGGAACTTTAAGAAAAACAAGATTTATTATTATTCACAGGTCCCAGAGGGCAGGCCCAGGGCTACACAGTAAGGTCACAGGGAGAGAGGGAGCCTACACGGGTACATGTGCTGAGTTTATTGGGGTTCTGCATTTATTGGGGATGAGGATGGAGTGCCCAGGGTTTTGGAGGTTTACTCTCTAAGTGAATTTCAAACATAAAAGCAAGAATTAGGGCTCAGGAAAGGAAAACTAGGGCCACTCAAAAGATTTTCATTTGATCCGGGGATGGTTACAGAGGTTTATACACATGTAAAAATTCATAACCCTAACCCAGTTACATATTCACTGAGAGCAGAGGAATGTAAGACCAGCCACAGCAGGGGGCTATGCAGCAGGCCCAGGCTAACTATTAAGTGATCCCTAGGGGGAGGGTATAGCTCAGTGGCAGAGTGCATGCTTAGCATGCACGAGGTCCTGGGTTCAATCCCAAGTACCTCCATTGAAATGAATAAAAACCTAAATACCTCTCCCCTCTCCAAAAACAAAAAGCCAAACCAAAAAAAAAAAAAAAAAGTAAATAAGAAGTGATCCCTGTACCTTTCCTGTGATTTACACTTTGAGATGGCACAGGTTTCTTTGCCTGCAGTAGGAAAGGTTCAATAGCTGTACTGGTTCCCCAGTTCCCTGAATGGAACTAAACTCACATTTGGTACCAGCAGCATCTATCTAAAGTGTGACCCTTTGTCCCAGCAGCCTCTATTGCAGCTTTTGTATGGGCGGGGTTAGGATGCCAGCAACTTCTGCAGGTCCCAGGTCTGTACAAGAAGCCAGCCCCCAGGACTGCTGCCTGCATGCATATTCCCTCAGTCCTTGAAGTAAGCACTTAAAATTATGGATGTCATACATCTGTCTCAACAAAGAGCTCAGGCACCGCCCTCTACCACCTGTGACTTTTTTGGCTTTTCTCTACCATTCACCACCCTCTTCTTGGTCACCAGGGTGTTTCCATACATTTGAATCTTTATTACTCTTTATCTCCCAGCAGTACTGAACACTAATAATTACATCTTCATTTATGAAACTCCCTTCTTGGACATAGAAACAATCTTCCCTCTTGGTGACCCTTCCTCTGGCTTCTCTTTAGTTTCCTCCATGGCTTCCCATCCTTCATCAACTCCTCTCATGAAGCTATTTTTGTCATGCTAGAGCTTCTTGGTAATTTGGCTCTGCTGAATGTAGGGTACCTACCCAGCATAGCAGCAGGGGGACCCACAGACACCCCTTTCTAAAGCTGTGGCTTTTCACTCACATGGAGCAGTGATTATTACATAGTAACGTGGCATGAGATTGACTCCAGAATGTCAGCCACAGCTCTGTATGGTGCCTGCTTAGAGCTCTGTGTGGTTGTCGAAAGACGTGAAGTCTTATGAATGCTCAGAAGACGTATAGACTCTCACTGAAGACATAAGACCCACAGGGAATGAGAGCACATAATTAGCACTGAATTATTTAATATAGATGGTCATGGCTCCAGAAGTTAAGTGAGGGATCCGAGACTGAAGTGTGCCTAAAAGCCTCATCTTCCATATCTGCTTGCCTACCTCTCACCTCCTTCCAGCCTTTGCTCAAATCTCACCTTCTCAATGAAGCTCTATTGTATATTATAACATCTCCTCCCCCAGCTCTCCAGATCCCATATTCACTGCTCTACTTTTTCCTGTAGTCCTGCCTTCCAGTACAGCAGTGTAACTTACTGATTAATTATGTTGGTCACGTCATTTGTTTACCCTACCAGACTGTAAGTTCCACAAGGGTGGGAATATTGTTTGTCCACTGATTTATCTCACATGCTTATTAGAACAGTGCCTGGTATATAATAAACAGCTAATTACTTGTTGAATTACCTGAATGACTGGTTCAGCTAAGTGGTTTAAAATTAAAACAAGCAAAGAAAAGCCTGAGGCTCATAAAATGACATCAACCAACAACAAAACACCTCCCTCATCAAGACAGGGCTTTCTCCATATCTGCGCTGTCCTCTAGAGGGCTACATTTGATGGTCAAGATTATCCCTGGGCCTCATGATCCAGGGCTAGCCAGGAGTCACCTTGATACAGTCTGTGACAGTCTTGACTACTGACCCCTTGTCATAGGTTTCAGTAGAAGACCAATATGAGCAGTAAGAATAGCAATGCTCTGTGCAGTTGCCAGCCTAGCATATTCATGGAGACAAGTGTGAATATTCCATGTTAGAAAGTGAGAGATGTTTGTCAGTCATAGTTTAATTGATATCCTCTCGCTTTGTTCTGAATTTGTTAGCCATTGGTTGGTTTACAGTTTTGGAAAATAAATACAAATTGGAGCTTGTGTCATGAAAAAATGATCTATTTCTGTGTCCCTCTTCAGTACAGATGTATGGCTCTGACCTGACCTCCTCTCCCTTTTCAGGGTGAAAAGGCTGATAGCTTTTACATTATAGCGTCCGGCGAAGTGAGCATCTTGATTAAAAGCAAGGTGAGTTTATGAGCGGTGGTGTGAGTTATGCCAGGGGAGATCCAGATGTCAGGTGTACGCACAGAAAGTAACTGTTTGGTTTAAATAATGTGAACTATGTTTAGTGTACCAAAACCATCATTGTTTTGTGAGATGTGTGACTGGCAAAGACTGGTTTTTAAGCCCATTCATTGATAAAGATTTAGTATATTTCTTTCTTGTTCCTATTGCCTTTTCCTCTGTTATGTAATTAATGACATGAAAAATATTGGCCTGTAAATCAGTAAGAAAAAGATAAGTACCCTAATAGAAAATGAGGAAATTTTATCATAAATAAAATGTGGGTGTTAAATATGAAGAAAATGTTCCTTTTAGAGCACAAGGAATGGAGGTCTCTAGGACAATTATTATCATGGCCATCTGGTGATAGGGGGACCAAGAAAACTGATGACCTGTAGGTGGGAAGAGTGATTCCTACCAAAAATCCATCATCATCAGATTTCCTGTTTTGATTTCTTTTAAGAATAAATAATTTGTCACAAAATCTTATGGTAGCTCACAGAGAAAAAAATGTGACAATGAGTGTGTATATGTCCATGTATGACTGAAAAATTGTGCTGAACACTGGAATTTGACACAACATTGTAAAATGATTGTAAATCAATAAAAATGTTAAAAAAAGAATAAATAATTTGTTAAAATAGTTATATATAATACTAAATCAACCTAGTATGAAACCTTTTACAGAATGCTTTTTATAAAAGTTAAGTATGGAGAAAGAAAGAAAAAAATGATTACTAACTATAAGATGGCTTGATTCCTAATTAAAAATGTTTTTTTATTTATAGTTTTCAGACTACTGATATATGTTTATGCATTTCTGACATATTCATTGACACCTATTAATCACAGCATAGTGTGGGTGTGTGGGTCCAGCAGCTGTAGCACTGGGTTGGGGGAGGGAGAGTTTGTCATAAATTCAGAGTCTCGGGCTCTGCTCCAGACCTACTGAATCAGAATCTGCATTCTATCAGAACCCCCAGGGAGCTGGTGTTCACAGTACAGTGTGATAAGTGCTACTCTAGAGAAGTGACTAGGTGGACACGAACATGTCTGCAGTCCCAGAGAATACAACAGAAATTGGAGAGAGAGCATTGACTCAGAAGGGGCAGATTGACCTCAGAACAAACATGTCAGGGCAGAAGTGTGGAGGGAGGAAAAGTCAAACTGTGTAAGCTAGTTTGGCACTTTTGTATATTTTTCTAAATTAACCTTCAAAAAATTTATCTGTCCATAACACAAAGTGGGTCTTAGAGATTGAGACTAATTCTTAGTAATAAGTTATAAATAATTTTTTATTTTAAACATTGTTTAGCTTGGCAGATGGATTTGTTAAAAAAAATAAGAAACTAGATAGTAAGTAAAATATAGTATATTATTTTCAGTAATCTGATAGGTACCAAGTATAACCTGCTTGATTTCTTAAACTATCAAATTGCAAGTTTGAACATTTTTTTTTAAAGTTACTTAACTCTTCTACAAATGTGGTACGGGGACCACTAACCTAAGATGCAGACAGTACCTAAAAATAAATTTGTCACTGTAAAGTATTGTCTGAGAAAAGCATGGCCTCAAATCAGAAAGAAGTAGTGCAGGATTGTGATTCTTTACCTAAGAGAAGCATTGACATTGTTTAGAAAGAATTAGCAAAAGATCTTGTCTTCTCCCCTGTGCCATATATTATATGTATATGTTAATATATAGTAATTTATAGTATATTAACATATTATATATTACTTTATATATTATATTAATATATCATATATATATATATATAAATCTTCCAAGGAAAATAGTCTTCACCTTACCTCTTGATATTTAGCCATTACTTGAAAGGTGTTAGGACTTTGATGAAGCCCCAGGTAAAAGCCAACTCTTCTGATTAGAGCAGACCACTGAGATTAACACATGCAGTTTACATGGTACAGTTAAGAGTCTCTGCAAAGTGAATTTCTAGATAATTGTGTTTAGTGTACTGAAAAGGAATGCAAGTATGTGCAACTGGACATGCCTAGGTGTGATTCTGGAATCAGCCCAGGTCATGTTCTCTACCTGTTCTAGACTAAAGCAAACAAGGATGGTGGGAACCAGGAGGTCGAGATTGCCCGTTGCCATAAGGGGCAGTACTTTGGAGAGCTTGCACTGGTCACCAACAAACCCAGAGCTGCTTCAGCTTATGCAGTGGGAGATGTCAAATGCTTAGGTAAGAAAATTTCTTTATGCATTAATGCTTCCTTTTTTCTAATATGCAGTATTTTTTCCCATTGGCAAGCCTTGACTTACTCCACTAGCTCTCACTCACATCTAGGCTTGAACAGTTTGTGTGACCAACCAGAAATGGGTGAATAGCAATAGAAATGTTTTAGCAAACATTTCTGAGCACTGACAGTAGGCTGTGAGCAAGACAGGCATATAGGCCCCCTGGCTGTGTGGAAAGGGCAGTAATGGAGGCAGGTGTCCAGGGCTGTGTGGGAACAGAGAGAATAGGTGTTACTGAGCTCTACACAGTCTCTGACTTAGATGACGTAGTCTTGCTGTGTAGAAACATCCCTTCCTTTCCCAAGTACCGAGTATCCAAAAGTCTAATTCCTGTAACGTGAGTGGATAAGTTGAAGAAAAGGTTTATACAAGGGAAATGACTTTGAATTGCTGGTGTAGAGAGTTTATTCTCTCCCTCACCTCTTTTTAACAATGCAGTTATGGATGTTCAAGCATTTGAGAGGCTTCTGGGGCCCTGCATGGACATCATGAAGAGGAACATCTCTCACTACGAGGAACAGCTGGTGAAGATGTTTGGCTCCAGCATGGATCTGATCGATCCCGGGCAGTAGGTATGCCACACCCAGGAGCCTTCTCAGTGTGACACCAAAACCTTCCGGTCAGCCACAGAACACAAACAGAAAATAGACACGACGGAACTGTTCCTGCTGTTGCCACCGCCGCTGCCATTGCTATGGCCGTGGGCATTTAGAAAACTTGAAAGTCAGCACTAAAGGATGGGTAGAGGTTCAACCCACACCTCCACTTTGCTTCTGAAAGCCCATTATTAGACCACTTGTAATGATTACCCCAACCCAGTTGTCACATCTTTGGTTCAAAATGGCATGTCTCTCCAACAATTTAAGTGCCTGATACGAAGTCCAAAGTGTAAACATCTTCCTTTTCTCTCTTGCTGCTACTGTTGCTTTTAGAAGTTACCACAGGTTGGCACAAACCTGTTGTATAACTGTAGACACCTCCCCTCAACTTTTCTCAAGGGAGGACATGTTGTAGCCTTCCATCTCCTCATTTGTCCTGTGAGAAGGTCCACATTTGTTCACAATTGTAGCCTTTGATTTTCCTGTCAAAAATGGTGGTCAATGTGATGGAAGTCTGTGACATTGTACTGTCTGCTGACAGCGGCACACATGGCAGCTGTCTCCAAACTCTCAGTGATGCTTAGGGACCCGCCCTGCCCAGGACCCAGCAGGTCAGCACCCCAAAGCACACTAATCAGCCATCGGGACTCATGGTAGAGCAGAAAATTGGGTTTGTCACATTCTTCAGGTAGCAGAGAGCCAGGGAAGTTTTCTGGGTTGGGGGAGTTTGTTTTGTTTTGTTTTAGTAGACTTTGTTTTGTTTTGTTTAATCTCTGTGCAGTTTACATGAGTGAATTGCTGTCCAATTGCAAGGAGCCAGGGTCTGGGAGTACCACCACCGTATCTGACCCAAATACTTTCCTGGGCAACTCCTGCCATCTCTTGTTTCCAGTTGCGCCTACCGGTTAATGGCAGTGTGCCAGCAAAGAGAGTGCTTTCCTTCTTCTCCAGAGTTGTTGCATAGCTTTGCTGTTGAACCGTCAATTTTTAAACTCTTTAAAGAAGAAGCAGCTATTTTTTTGAAAAAAGATTATTTCTCTATTTACAGAAGTCCCCTTGGTCATATATATCAGTTTGTCAGCTGACTCAGGCACTTATCCTAAAGACTAACTCTTTTTGTTAGTTTTCAAAAATCGGCGTCATTTACAATTTTGTAGAATTACTGCAGAAACCTTTCTAATTAAGATGTTGGGATATTTGGGGTTCCAATCATTAATCCCAGAGGAAAGTAATTTAGTTGGTATTTTAAAATCTTTTTTAACCTTTTGATTATATCAGGTAGAATTCTGATGTATTATCATAATTAACTAGATATGTTTCAGAATGAATTTTTTTCCTTCAGAATGACTCAGAATCAGATGCTACAAGAGATCCTAAGAGCAGTGTGAAATTTACACAAAGATAAATTTGGATGTCATAGCCAAGTTTATATTAAATCAAGAGGCCCTTTCCAATATAAATTTTTTTACCTTGTATAACTTAATAAATCCCTATAAGATTATTATGTGCTGGGGCTTAAGTTGTTCCTGTTGATAATGATGGAGCCCACACAGTCACCGTCCACTGTCATGACTCATAAGCCAGACTGTCTGCTCTTGCCATGGACAATATAGTTGAAAGATTTCCAGAATAGTGATCTATCACAACTTTGGTCAGTTCTCCCTTTTTCTTGTGCTCTGTGAAGTGAAAGCAGAAGGACTCCTTCAGACTGCCCTGCGTAACCTGTGTTGCAGCTCTCAGAATTGTGAAAGGTTGTAACTGATACTCCAAAACAGGCAGCTAGTACTGGGAAAGCCCGTGTGGTTTTCCCCTACTATTTTCCAAGGTTCTTCTTTTCTATGGGATTGCTTTATTATCAAATAAATTAAGAAAGCAGATCTTGCACTTTAGCAGACAAGAACCACACCTGTTTCTTAAACAGGTTAACAGGTACATTGGGCTTCAGGAGTGACACAGAGTTCTAGCCCCAGACTATGTAAGGACTCTGTTTAAACACTGAGCAGACGTCCTCTTTGTACCCCCTACTCCATGCCAGCATTAGTTAGGGCTGGCTGTGAACTCTGAGCCAGTCACTCCTGCAGGCTGCTAGGGATGGGACTTCTCATCCTGCCCTCTTGCACATCCCAGTTTAGTCCTCCCCTTCATAGAAGCCTCTTTGACACCCCTGACTTACTGATGGTTTCTGTTTTACAGAGTAGAATTCATCAGGTTTGAGTCCTCCTGCTCTAACTGCAGATTGACATATGGATAATCAGTCCAGATCCTCACTGCATATATGGCTCCTTGAGGGTCTGGCTTGAGAGAGACTTTACAGGGACCAGTGTGTGTGAAAAGGGCACAGCCATTAGCGAAGTGCCAGGAGTTGGACAGTGTTCCAGTTCTCTTTGCAGCATAGGGAATCGAAGGTGGCAGACCAAGTTCGACTCGGTTCTCTGGTGTCCACATTGTGATGAGCAAGCCCTGCATGGATAGTTGAGCCTCACAGGGAGGAGCAGGTGTTGGGAAGAGGTCTTTCTGATAGTTGTTTTATGTTGTTCTCTTCTGTGGGTTAGAGCTTCACACTCTCTTTTCTGGCTTTGCTATTGATTTCACATGGTGGAGAACGTTCCTGAGGGCCTTGAGGTCCAACCTGCAGTATTATTCTTCCTTCTGCCCCCGGTTTTCACACCCACTCTTTTCTTTCAGTTGTATTCTCTGAAGAAAGAGTTTGTGCACTCTTCCTCTTAGTCAATAGTCCTTACATATAATTGTGTTACATATAATTGCAATAGATTCTCAGAAATCAGGATGGAGCTTTTCTTTGAACAGTTTAGTGAGCAAATTCAGCAGCAAAGTGGCAAGAAATGATTCTCCAGCCAGGAGAGGTCACGTTCATCCCTTTATTGCACAGCTTCTCCAGTCACAATGATAGTCAGTGAGAGGTGCCGCTGGCACCCAGCAGCCCCTGGACACATAGCATATCCATGTTGTGTCACAGCGTACAATCTCTCTCATTTAGTAAAATTGAAAGAGCATTTTTGCACAGAGGAAAAAGAAAAAGACTCATGAATGTCATCTTTTATCTTCTGTTTTCAGTTGGCTGATGTTGGAATTTTGTTCTTGACATGCACTTGTAAACCAGTCTTGCCAAGATACAAGTTGTTTTGGTTTTTCACTATGATTACCTCTTGTTCCTCCTGTCTTGACTGCTGATGTTCCTCAATGATTCTAACGTCTATTTTATGGGAAGCAGCCTTCCCATGGGTTTCCTTTTACACACTGTAGGGCTATCTTTATACTTAAAAAAAAAAAAAAGGAGAAAACTGTCACTAGACTCATGGGGGATTTGCAGAAAACCATTTAGCCCACCTTGAGCAGAAGGTAGATTCCTCATTGTTTTCTTAAGCTCATTGTAATAAAAGAAATCTAATTCAGCATCATTGTGCTACCTCAAAGGTAAAAATGTTTTATGGTCTTTTTTTGGTTCTGAATTCTACATGTAGTGTTTGAAATGTCTTTCAATTGGAATTATTTTTAAATCATTAGGGAGAATCTTATTTTAACCTGTTTTACATTGTATTTTAATCTCAGAAGAATAAGTGATTAGAAAGTGATCAATTCTTGCTCTGTAGTATTGACCATATAACTAAATCATTGTTTGCCATAAACAAGGTTGGGTTTTTTAAAAGGAAACTCTAGGGCTTGGCTTTGCTCTTGGTTAATAAAGGCTGACAAATCATGTCTGAAACTACGGTGCAGCCTTGTGTTATGTGTTTGTCCTCTCGTTTTAGGGTTCTAGGCCAGCAAAGTATTCATCTGGCAGATACATTATTGGGATTGGGGTGTGAGGTCTTGAAAATTAGAGAGGAGGCCTGAGTAATATATATATTAGTGTTCTCCAGAGAAACAGAACCAATGGAGAGAGAGAGAGAGAGAGAGTGTGTGTGTGTGTGTGTGTGTGTGTGGTATGTGTATAAAGAGATTTATTATAAGGAATTGGATCACACAGATATGCAGGGTGAATTGGCAACCTATAGACCTAGGAGAGCTGAGGTTTAATTCCAGTCTGAGTTTGAAAACCTGAGAACCAGGAGAGCCAATAGTGTAGTTCCCATCCAAAGACTGGCAGCTCAAGACCCAGGAAGAGCTGATGTCCCAGTTTGAAGTCAGTCAGGCAGAAAAATTCTCTCTTACTTGGGAAAGTCAGCGTCTCCTATCTGTCAACGTTAATGATTTCCTTCTCTGTAACAGGGCTATAACCAGCACTAGCAATGACTCTGTGAGAGTCCTCTATACCTACAGTTTCTTTCCCAGTGACCAAAGGAAGCTCATTTTATAACAAACTCATGTTCCAGTTTGATCTTGCCTTCACCTGGCAGTACTGAAGGGCCAAGTAATGGGTGAATATACAAAACTCCCATGTGGGGCCCGAGAAACTGGTAGTTGAACCCTCAAAGCCAAACTAGCCTTATTTCAAGGCTTTAAAAATTAAATATGGTTTGGCCTTTGTGTTTTTTGGTGGTTGTATTGCTATGAACCATTCAGAAGTGCTGGGATAATGACAAGATCATATTGTCCACAGTCTCAGTCTTGAAGAATGAACAACACATGAGGACTTTGCCTTTTACGTATGCTCTAACAGGGAGCTAGAAGTTTGTCCCATCACAATTACCTGAATATATCCTCAGTGATCTTAGTGCATCAATTTTTTAACAACAGAATTAAAACAGTGTTACTTTTAAAGTGGTTAAGGAAATTGAGGTTGTTTCACAAGTCATCATTCATGTTAAGTATGAATTTTGCTTCCTTTACCCATCCTCTCTACAGATAAATGCCTTATCACAGATAATGGCCAGTGATACATACTGTTACCTGACTGGGAAAATGCAGAGTGTCAACCAGGAACGTATTGAATAGTCAGTTGTGAATTCAAATGAGTATTATCCAAGTTCTGAATCAGAATGTCAGAAATTAGGCCTGACCCAGCTTATTTGGTCATTGAACAGAATCTTATTTGCCTGCTGTGGACATTCCTGACACTGTTTAAGTTCCAGGAATTATCAAGAGTAATGATAACTGGGGTCTTCCAGGGCATTCCTGGGCCTTTCCTCCAGTGCTCTGGGGCTTATCCTCATGTTTCTGGACTCACATAAACAGCAGCCCCAGTCTCCTAGTTCGAGGGTGATCATGTTCCAGTGCCTGCTGTTGCCCTTAGTCATGCTGCTCTTCCCTATATGGCTCCCACTTCTTCTTTTTTGTTGTTGTTTTTGAGGGATTTTTTGGGGGGTGGGGGAGGTAATTAGGTTTATTTATTTACTTATTTTTTTATCAGAAGTACTGGGGATTGAACCTAGGACCTCGTGCATGCTAAGCACGCACTCTCCCACTGAGCTATACCCTCCACAGTTCTCCCTCCTCACTCCCCCAATCCCCCAATGCCCCACCTCTTCTTAAAATGAGTAGTTTGGACACACAAGCATGCAATGTCCCCGCTCTTTTAGCTTGCCTCACATAATGCTGGTTACAGAAGTGTCAGGGAAGCTGTCAAAGGAAAAAGACTAGACTGAAGATTTTAAGGAAGACTCCCTCCAGGCAAAGACTCCTCAGAAGTTGTCATCTTCATGCTAGACATCCTAAATAAACATCAAAGTGAAGGTTGGCCGGAGATGCCTTTCTGACTTAGGTTTTCTTCTGTGATGATGTGCTAAGAACCAAGTTTTGTGGAAATTTTTCTGTGACATTTCTACCCCTTCGTCTTTGACTTCTTCCCAAATAGAATCCTTGATCCTGTGGGCACTTCATTCTATTTTAAAAAACCAGTAATCTGGCTTAAGTACACAGAGTCAAGCCCATTTGAAGACTACAAGGCAGGAGGCTGGCCAGGCTGGAATGTGAAACCAAAGAGGGATTGAGAGCTACCCCAGACACTAGAAAAGCCAGTAGGACCTGACTCTTCACCAATCAGTCCATCCTGATAGGCAGAAGAATGGATATTTGCCAGTCAATTCTTGGAGAAGGCAGTTGAAACAAATGGTATGAACCAAATCTCCATGGCCTTCTTGGCCATGGTCTCACCCCTTCCTCCCTCTGCAGAACTGCACTGAGGCAAGTGTCAAAAGTCACTGTGTATGCTTCTGGAAGCTGGGATCCAGCAATCTCCTCTCTGGCCAGGTCTTCCAACCCCCAGAAAGAGGAGACAAGGTATGCAGTTGGTTTTTTTTCTAGTTAAAAGGAAAAGCTAAAGTCCAGACCCACCAGATGAGCAAACCAGCATTTTCCAGCATAACATACAAGCATAGTTAAACTGGACATTTTTATTCTGAAAATGAAAGGCCTGGGCATGAAGAGACACATATGGTATACTCCCCTGCCTACCATGAGCCCAACCCAGGCAGCTGAAGGAGTGAGGGACCTGAAGCTGAGTCTTAGGCCTGCAGGGCAGTCAGGGAAGAGGCCTTTGGGGCAGATGTGCATCAATTCCAGGCAAATCAGAACCCTACATGAGCCACCTTGGGCTACTGGCATCCTTTCCCAGAGTGGTGCAGCTGGCCTCATGCCTGGGATGAGAAATGGAGCCACACACGGGCTCAGATGCCCCCAGGAATCGGCCTGGACCCCAGGTAAGGGGCTGTTCTCCCTGGCAGCTCTAGATGCCAGAGCACTTTCCCAACCAGGATGGAATTGGAGGATAGAGAGTATATGACCCCAAGACCCCAAATTCAACCACTGCTTCTACCTCAAAACTCAAGATGATTCCTCCGGGCTGGCAGTTCCTGCCCAAGGCCAGCCAGAGGAGGATGAGTTGGAGTCATCATCTAAGGCCTTGGCTTGCTCCATTGTAAAGAAAGAGGTAGACTTATAGGAAGGTGTTCACCAACCCCCATCACCCCAGCCCTGGTCCTTGGTTTTGCCCACAGGCATCACCCCAGGAGGATTTCAGCCTTGCCTTTCACATGCCAAGGCCCAAGTAAAGTAGGGGGTTGGGGCCCAGTGGCTGGTGTAGTCTCTCCCATTGTGCTCACTTGAAACTGGGCATCTCGGGCTCTCAGAAAAAGCAGCCCCTACTCCCTGACAGAGCTGGCTTCACAACTGAAAACCAGGGTCGGGTTATCCATCCTCCCTGGTAAATGGGTAAGATTAGTTTGTAACAGGAGGGCTAGCCTCACATCTGGGCACTGATTGAAGGGCCAGGTTTACAACGTGCAAGCAAAGGCACATTCCGAGTGCAGATGCAGGGCCTGCTGAGACCAGGCTGGCTTCCCGCACAATGGGAGTTTCCCCAATTGCCTCACTAGGCTCTTCGCTCCCTGAATGTACTGGTGACGAGGGTGTATGGCATCTAGGATGTGCTGGGAGTCACCTCCACTCTGGGCCTGCAGGATCCTTTTCTTTTTGTTCTAGGGGTTAAAAAAAGGAATGATTTGCAGTCAGCCCTTCCCCGTGTAGTCCAGTCCCAGGGCTGGCTGAGGGGTGGGGGGACATCTGAGAATTGAGTCCCTCCCCTGCCTGGGTGGGAACATCATGTTCCCTACTCAGAGATGCACATCCAACCTTTGAGCACTGGGGACCCTGGGAGGAGTCCAGGCTGGAGGAGATAGGGGTGAGTGAGAATGGCCAGCTCGGTTTGAGAAACAGGAAGGGAAAGGAATTCCGAGAGATGTCTGATCTTAGAATAATTCTATGCACTCCGATCCCCACCCCCTCCCCTGGTGCAGGCTCTAGCAGGGAGCAGCACAACCTCAGCCCCAGCCCAGGCCAGGGCTGCACGGAGGAAGGGATGAAGTGCCGCAGGGGAGCTGCAGCTGTCCACACACAATGCTTAGGGCTTCCCAGCTGCAGTCTCCAGCCCAGAAGTGCCGCCTCCACCTCCTGGTCCAACTCTCACTCCCTCTACCTTTGGACAACTTCTTTTTACCCTGGGCCATTCCTGCCTGGGGCCTGGTTGTTTACATCCCTGAGGTGAGGTCTCTGATCAGCACCTCCCTGCCATCCTTTACTTCCAGGCCCTTGGCAGTGCTGCCTGGCCCTCGGCCCTGATCTCTAACCTCCTGCACCCCCCACACCTAACCCCCAGCAATGACCTAACCTTGCTTTTAGGGAGAAAACAGAAGCGATGAGTCAGAATCTCTGGGCTCCTCCTCTTTCCCCACATCCTCCCCTAGCTTTGACCCCATTGTTCTCCCTTCATGACAAAAGCCTTGAGACTTGCCAGCAATGGCCTCCTCACCTCCTATTTGTCACAGCCCTCCCCACCCCCCATGCAGTCTCCAGTGGTTAACATGGGGTGGACAGAGCTGATGCCTAGCTGAGGGTGAAGCCGGCTCTCTCGAGTCTCAGCTGAAATCACCATGGTGGATGCCTCCCTCTTGCTTCAAGAACCATCTTCTCAAGAACATCCAGTTCTCCTGCTCTGCTTCCCACTCAGTTGCCAGGTTTAACCTAGACAACAGTTAAATGTTGAAGCGACCTAGGGCTCCACCCTAAGTTTTCCTCCCTCCCTCCCGGGGAAGTCTTGTCCGGGACAGCATGACTTTGGGTGTTACCTCCATGGTCACTCCAGATTTATACCTCCACCTAGGACACTGCTGAGCTGAGTTTCAGGTGGTTCCTGGCCAGGGTCCCTCTCCCATCTCTTCACTCCACCCACTGGGAAACTTCTGCAAAGTTTGCTTTTCTTTCCTTTTATTTTTCTAGTCATTCCTCCCTGCGCTATCCTGAGTTTTTAGTAAGGTAGTCATTATTTTCCTGATTG